TAGGTCTCTATTAAATTGGTCAATTACCCTGTGAGACTGGTCATGGACAGACACCATCTAGTATCTTGTAACAATCAATAATCGATCTTCCTATTTAATCTTACAATGTGCATGTTCACCTAGATGCACGCGTCTATGAAGTTGGAACCTTGCTCAATTCATCTAGCTTGAGCCTATAATTTCGGTCTTCCTACATAGTCATCTGGAATAGTGTAATTGCTCTTGATTATGCTTCTCCCACGGGTGCTCCATGAGTTGAGGCTCTGCCCCAATTCCAACAATTAGGACGCATTGGATCCGATGGGTATGGTGGTAGCGCTATGTATTGATAGCTTCCACGGAACATCTCGTTTGTCGATTTTTGCTCCAGAAAAGGAAGTCAAAGGTTATCGGGAGCGGTTTGTTTTGGGATAGGGATGGTGAGCGCAGTTTGTCGACGGGGGGGGCATTTTGTTTTCCATAGATGTGTCGACCCATCTAGGTAGCCGTTTCTCGAGTGGACAAGTGGCTCTTGCTTCAGCTTCACAAAGTTCACAAGTTTTACCAGAGTGAGATTTGTAAACCGGAACTAGGGAAGCAATGATAAGTACAAAATGCCCCCCGTCGATAAACAGCGCCAGGAGCTCTAATCTTACTCGATATATCTGAGCGAGCAGCACTCTACATAGACCACCTTGTAGGTTCTCGATCCTCTCTCTATCCATATTTTTACTAGTACAAGCTTAATGACCATATAAGTTCTCATCAGTAACTAGTTCTCAGTGGAGAGATATGAATAGCCCAAGGACCTAATTGAACTGTTGTTTGTTGTATGCGTTGGCCAGCATTTCAGCACGATTAGCATACTCTGTGTTGTTTTCTAGTTGTCTCCACGAGAGCGCTTTTGTTTTGCCTGACCACTTGGCCGTCATCCCCTTTCACCTTCGACACTCAAACCCTCAGCAGTTCTCTGTGTCGTTCAACACGCGCTCGTCTCGAGCGCACTTCATCTGGATATTTTCAGCATTCACCAGACATCCGACCGCCTCTCATTCCCTCATTGGCTACAACTGCTCTTTGGCTTCTTCTTGATGCGATAAACAAACTCGCTGACAGTCCGAACAATGCAGACAAGACAATCAAAATTACGCCAGAGCACGTCCAAAGAAGAGAGATCGCAGGCAATGTTTGTTTGGGGGACGGTGGATGATGTCGAGACCGAGAGCGCGGAAAGACAGGAGGCTGGACTGCCTCCGGAGGGTCATGAGATCGGTGCTGGAAGAGGGCGGCCTCCAAGGTCTGGTTCAGCTCAGCCGACATGTTGTTCACTCACACACTGATATACCTCACCGAAATAGTCAGTTGAGCTTCGTGATCGGCTCGTGAGCTTCCGTTCATTCTTGATCTGGACACTTCATCTCTAGAACTTACTTCTCCCCTATAACTTTTATCAATTACTGGGCTTACTTCTGAGCTCGAGCTGGTTATAATGTTGGTCAAAGCCTCATCTGTATTCCTGAAATCCTCCGCTTTTTTTAAATTTCTCTGCAGAAGAATCGTGAAAGTTTTGAGTTGGGTGAAGGAGCTGACGCGATTCTGTAACGCTATGCTTGTCCATCTGTTCCACTAGACTCACTGGAAAATCCGGCCGATAAGTTCTTGATAGCTGCTGGGAATGAGTGAGACAACCGAGTGACGACGTCCCTTCCCTCGGCCTGAAAAAAAGGGTTCGAAGTCAAAACTAAAAGAATTGCGGCTGTGAAGGGCGGTTTTCTCATCTTACGGCCTTCTGAGCGTGGTGTGGGGGGAGGGGTGTTGGGTTAAGGGAGGGCCTAGGAAGGGTGATCTGCGACCCACAAGGGAAGTACACTGGGATTGCCCCTACCTTCAGCTCTGGTTCAGGACTTGCTAGAGCTCTAGACTTTGCCACACTTATCTTTCTTGGTGTATTTTGGTGCAATCTTGCGGGAGAAATTTCGAAACTTAGAGCTAAAATTACTAGATATGAATAGTAATGTGAGTGAATAATGTGACACGAAACGTTCCCTAAACACCTCGGACTGTTGACTGGAATTGCTTTGAAAATCCTCGAATATTGCCTGAAAAAATTATGTGATGGTTACCAGTTGATAGGCTACGGTCACCCGTAGCAACATTTTCACTGTTCTTCTCCATGAGTTTTTTCTTCGAGCGATAACCACTTTTATTTGATCTACTTGACATTCCCTAGGACATTCCCATTTCCTTTGCATATTCCTCCTTTTCTCGTATACCAGTCTTGTTTAGAGATCCACCGGCTCGCTATAGCAGCAGCCATGAAGCCGGGGTTCTTATCGATACAGGTAAATGAATCATTCACTGTTTTCTTTTCCTTTTTTTCATAGAACTTGATCTCCCAGTCAGCGTCCAAATTTCGTTTAAGGTTATTACATGGGTTACGTAGTTAGAGTTCGGCTAGAGATTACCTCGATAGATCTAAGCTTAAAAGTTCTAGTGTATTCCGTTAGGGTGGCACAACCCGGTGCACAGCACCCAGGACATGTGGACCTTCGACTAACATATCCTTTCACTAAAAACCTTGAGGGGAAGTTATTCCCATATAAGTTCAAATAAGGTATCGTTTGGCAATGGTTTGACGCAGGGAATCCACCCACCTAAAAGTTTACCAACCATTCAGGCTTAGGCAATTAATGCTTTTCCCCTGGCCCACAACAGTTTTACAGCGTAGAAACAGGAACCATAACATTTGACAACATTTAAGAACCCCTAGTGCAAAAGATGAGATTACCGTAATCAGCGCGAACTACGGCATCAAAAAAGCCCACCCTACTGAAATAGATCTGCAACGGCTCTTTGGACAGAGGCTTCTCGCCTATTGAGCAAGTTTTGTTAGCATTTCTCGTCTGTTGTGTGTGATGTGAGTTGGTGCGGCTCTTTCAGCTTTTTTGTTGTGCATGGATGGTGTGGTCGAAACTGGAGTGCGACCCCACGTCGAGCACCAAGAAACCGGATCCAAACAATCCTGAGTCATATTTGTACTGCAATCTTGAAGGGTATGTGTTTGTATTTCGAAAAGGAGAACCTCCATGAGTTGATATTTCGGTGCTTACTAACAGAGATGTAATCACTAAGTCGATTTTGCGCTCCTTAGCTCGTTTGCTTCGATTTTTTTCATTCCTGCGACATCTATTTGTTTTTGACCAGGTCTGTCCCTAAACAAATACAAGAGGGTGACGCTTTCCGGCGTTGTTCTATATATTCTGTTCTGAGACCCAGGATTATACATACTTACCCCCAGAATTATTATGGCATTTTGGCCTACCCAATACCCGGGGGTGATTCGGTGGACAAGTCACAGTTTTTATTCACGGATGACCTCAGAAGATACCCTTAAACAAGGTACAGCATCGTTGAGAGAATCCGATCAAGGACTCGTACTTGGGGAGGAGAATCTACTTGCGTTTAGGATTTTTGTTTCATGTTCGCTAATTACCGCGCGCCTGGTTGTTGGCGCTACAGAATTACCGTAAAACTACGATTTATGATAGTTGAAACTAGTATCTGATTGGTGAGGATCCTCCCCCCCCCTGACCCGACGCCCGCCCCCCCCCTGACCGACGTATTGTGTCCACCCCATTTAGCGTGTGGAGATCGCTCCTAATTGTTTGGAATCACTAGTGCACCGTTAGAGGCGGGTTTTTTTGCAGGAGAATGCAGGTTCAACGAAAGTGCGTCGAAGTGCGGAATCAGCTCGCGGCCAGGAGGGTCGACTCAAAGAGGGGAGGGGGGGGGGCGGGATTGACACCAGCACATTTTATGTGCATCATCTTGTACCCTGCCATCGCCATGATGGAAGTTTCGTTGGGCCGGGAAGAGGGATCCCAACACGAGGACTTGACCGTGACAGTTGGACGGCGCTACTTATTAAGTGCACGACATTGGCTCATCCTGTTGTCATCCCATAGTTGTTACTCCTTTCCTCTTCGTGGCGCTGTTTGTCGCGGGGCGGCATTGCATGGTTCATTGTTCTTGTTCCGGCTTCGATTCTCACGCTGGGTAAATTGGGTGCCTCTTGTGAAGATGAAGGTAGTCGTTACCCATATCGTAAACCGTGTAACTCCGAGAACGGTGCCTAGATTGTGGTCGACACATCTATGGAAAGCAATATGTCTATGGATAAGCAAAATGCCCCAGACTGCCGGGCTCTTTCTCTTGAAGCGGTTATTACTTATGTAGGTTGGTATAAGAATGGGCCGTTTTTCAATTGAAATCTGTTCGAAAAGGTGAACGTTCTCGTAGTATAGAATAAAAACTTTGGTTGATGATGAGTGTTTTTTGGTGAATTTTTTGCTCGGTGGCATTTGGAAGTGACAGTCGGCGATTAGATTTCGACAACTGCCCTATTAGTCTACTCGAGTTGCTAAAATCGTTAAGTGCTTCCATACATTCAGCAAGAGGTTAAGACTGAGCGGGGTTAGAAGTTCAGAAGGGATCTCCATGGACGTTTCGGAGTATTTTAAGAATTTTTCATAGTTCGGCCCTTTCCTTGCGTTATTGGGCAGCTCACGTTGGTTCCCTGATTTTCATGCTAAGTTGGAATTAATTTAATTGTGATTGATTTATATACTACGAGGAAGTTTGCTATTAACTATTAAGCGCGCGTGCAAGTTTTATTTTGGTACAAATTTTGTGATGAAAAACACGGCCATGACTATTAGAGCCACTGCTTGGGCTGGCTAATAAGTAATGGCCGTCTTTTTTTCAATTGAAAAATTTGTTCAAAAGGTGAACAGTTTTGCAAGCAAGCTTAACATCGTTTAATAGCAACTTCTGTTGTTTGAAATATCAATGATTCATTAATGAACTATGTGCATGAAATTTCTAATAGAGGCAGATTGTCGAGATGCTAATTTTTGCCACTTCCGGTCCACTTCAGGACTAAAATTTCACAGAAATGTTCTAACCCAAGCTTTTTTATTATTATACGGAAGTTTCCTATCGTGATATTGTACCTGTTGCAAGTTTCACTTTTCGACACATTTTTCATATGAAACACGCCTTCTTATTGCCAAACCTATATATACTGTTGAACGAGATGGAACAGTAGGTAAAAGGCTTTGTGAAGCTAAGTGGTTCTCTCTAATAAAATATTGATTTCTTAACTTTGCAATAACTAGTATCTATATTTTCCAGCACATTTTCAAAACGAAAATGTCTTCAAGGCAAGATTTTTAATGTGGAGACCGGTGCATGTGAATCGGCTCTGAAATCAGACATCGCTAATGACGATCCGTTTTCACAACCTTTCTATCAAGCGCCAGGTGAGGGAGCACTCTAACTAAATTTTTGATCTGCGATCAAACTTGAAGATATCGATCAACAACGATGATCTACTGTAAGCCAACGATCTCATCGTTAGATCAGATCAGTGGTGTAGGGCAGGAAGATCACAAAAATCGCATGACGGCCAATCGATTGTCCTAATCGATCGATTTTCAGATGATCTCTGTGGATCCGGAATACCTCTCACAATCCTTTCAGCACCGGTTGTGTGTAATCCAAGCATAAGCAGTTGTCCTGATGGTAAGTAATGGTATCGAGACGTTTTCGATTGCTGTGATTAGTAGGTCTTCTCGTAGCACTTGTTATCCTCAGACTGACGATAGAATAAGTACTATTGCAGAATTCAACCCGTCAGATGCCTTCTTTATTCAGGTTATATCTGCCGCATGTACGAACGCACTGGGACGTCTTACTGTTGTCAAGGCTCATCACCGCCGGTTGATAATGCAAGTTGTAGCCAAGGACAAGTCGCTTACTTTGAGGTAGGCAGTACACTGTTAGATCCAATTGATCACTTCTTTTATTTGTTTTTTATGCGACAGCTTCTCCTTGCAATATTTTAACATTTCATTCTTGAAAAGGCGATTAGATCTTAATTTGTGATCTACCAAAATCAATAAGTGTCTGCAAATCACGTGCTCCTGTCGATTCCATGCACTGAGTCATAGTGTTTGTTTTTCGAGTGATGTTAAGCTTCCTCGCAGTGACCGGTCCTCGCGACACTCATTGTCTTAATATAGATAAGCCGTACAGATGTCGGATCCTCAAAGTAAACAAACACTCGACTTCAAAGTAAATAAATTAATTTCTTCAGCGCTCAATTTTTTTTCCAGTTAATACGCTTGTTTTTGCCATCCTGGAAGATTTTTGAGACGCTAGAACAGGTTTCCTTGTGAGAAGTCCATAGCTAAAGGTCCCAGGGAATAGAAACATCAGCAACCCTCTACAAAAAAATTTTTGCCCGGCCTCCGGGTAGAGTAATGCTGAAATATATGGAACTTCACGTAGAAGGCTTGCAAGTCAATTACTGTGATCTCCACAGCGAATGATGGGGCGTGCAGTGAGGCTGGGTTGGGCGCCCTGCCAGCCCGCTTCACCATTTGTTGAAGCGGATAAGCGACAACAATTAGTGGAAAACAAGCGATCTGATAAAGCTTTGTTGCTAGCCGCAAGAAGAAAAAAAAGAAAAAAAACGGGCTGGCGCCTCGCTAACCAATCCTCCCTGATACACCCCATCATCCGCAGCATAACTGACATTATTTCATTATTTTGTGATTATTTCATGCTGCAAAATCTAAATAGGATCCTGTCCACATTTCCGCTGCGACTGGTAACGCAGTTCTTTTTTTTGTAAAAATCGTCCTTACAGCCTAATGGTAAACCTCGATCATGTGTGCTTTCTTCACCATCGTCATGTCCAACTGGATTCAGATGTACACTGGTTGGTGGCACAACTACAAGGTTTGTTTACTAAATCTTTTATAGGATTCTTAGTTGGATGAGCAATTTACCATGACCCAATAGTAAGATCGCTGCGCCCGCTCATTGGTGGGTCACAACCTTGTAGGATGAACAAGAATAAATGGGCACCCAATGAGGATGATCCAAAGTGACCCCACCCCCCTCCCTCACAAGATGTCTGCGGATTGTTCTTTCAAATGGGTTTACTCACTGAGGCACACGACATTTTACATTCAATTGTATGCAAGTTCCCATAAAGTAGGTAAGAATTGAAAATGGTTGAGCACAAAAATGAGCTAGCAGTTGCGAGTTCTTGTCCTGGCTGGTATATCTTTTTCTGCTCTACCCTTTCGGTAAACGGAATTTAACAGAGCTTTTTGCAAGCTTAGTCATAGTGAAAAACCAACTCAATCAAGCTGCTTTTCTTAGGGAATAACAATCAATAATTTTGAATTAGTTCATGCATTGATCAATCAAATGCAAGAAGTAATTAATGCAAAATTTCAGGTGCTGCGGAAAAGATATCGGCTGCCCATATAACTCGGCGCCTTTGCTTCATCCAAGCACAGGTTCAACGGTTGAATGCTCACCGTCGAAAAGAAGGTAGTTTTCTCTTGTAATCATATTTCTTTTGAAATTGCTAAATGCTTGTGTTTCGCACCCTACGACTGCGTTCATACTTCGCTGCAGCGTCCACCAGCTACACGAGCGTCCGGCAGTGTC